TTTCTCCCCACTGCGAGGCCGCAGTTGAATCACGACAAGTCTGTTGGAGCTGGCTGGCAGTCTGAGGATTATGTCATTATATTGGGCATTTATCATCAGAGCTGTGTGTCTGTCACCGGAGTATGGATGCACAAATACTCGCTGTTTTATGGGGATTAAAAGTAGTTTACTTGTGATATGTTATTGTAAACGTCAGTGTTAACTCTCGTTGGAGTGCATTAGGATGGACGTTCCTTACACGACTCACTGCCTCTTTTTGTACTCTAATAGCTGATCACCAGGTTTGCTCTCGCTCAGCAGATCATTGTGTACAGAATATACACCAAATAACACTAAGCACTCTCAAAATTGCTCTCCAACCTGACCCCTAATGCTCAATATCAAAAGCACTCATTTAAAGCCACTGTGGCAAGAATGCCAGTAAAGCGCCTGTACTGAACTGAGTTTATTCTTCACTGTGTGAAACGGTTTGATTTCTTTTTAATAAATCTGAGTCACCTGAAAGCAGCAGGGCAGATGTGCGTTATACCTGCTGCCTGTGCCTTGCAACATGCAGCACCTACATGTACAATGACTCACTGACTTTCTACTAATGCTGCTCTAACGTGTGCTTTCCCTGTCCGTTACATTTCCTGGTTTTGCCGCCCTCGACTCAGATTGAAATCTTCCTTCACTCATTTGTTTTGCTCCACTCACTGAAGCTAAACTTTCTATGGAAATGAGGAAGTTGTTGTATTTTCTTTTTTATTAGCGCAACCGAGACGATTTAACACTCTGGGCGGTTGTTTGCCTGTAAATGTTGCTGCATGTCTTCATGATGTCAGTCTAAGCCTGTGTGTTTTTTCTCTCTTGTTAATAATAATACTGTGGCCTTTTACCGCAGCGCTGCCATTCACCAACCTGGAAAACTATTGATTGCGGCCGTAAAATGTCAACGACTCTATTAAGCCTTCAGACTCATTTGGGTGTTTACTTTGCAGTAAGAACATTTTTAGATCTCACAGAGCAGTTTTGGAGAGCAGATCAGTCCCAGCTGCTTTTCAGCCTGTTTCTCATTCAGATCATGAGATATGGAAGATTGTTCTTCAGCGGTTTTATTGTTCATGAGCAGTGAGACTCGGTGAAGACTTTTCTGCTCGTGGGAGCAGTTTTCCAGCTGCAGCTAAAATGTAATTGAGATGCTGCTAATTTGTTCAATTTGGGTCCTGGGCTGAAACATCGGAGCCTTGATTCAGATGAGATAATGTCAGTTTAACAGCCAATAAGACCCAGCTGTGGGCTAATGAATAGGAGACGTTATCTGCCTTCAGAAAGATGGAAGAAAATGATGAAGTTGTTTTTTGGTGGCGGGGGGGCTCGTCTTTGTCGGTATACTTTACCACGATGGAGGTTTGAGCTGAAGTCTGAATAAATCCAGAGTTCTTGTGTTGCTGTTTTTACGTTGTGACCAGTCCTCTAACTGTTCCCTTCATGTACCTTTCTCGTGCAGAGCCGGCTGAGATGAGCGGTCCAGAGGTGGCCAAGACACCGGGAGGTGGAGCTCCGGGCAAGGAGGGCAAGGAGCCGGTGGCCAATGGGCACGGAGGAGAGGGCAATGACGCCAACCCATTCGCCGAGTACATGTGGATGGAGAATGAAGAAGAGTATAACAGACAGGTGTGGTCATACTTTATACTGATATAAAGCACATGATGGACACGTTCAACCCTCGTGCTCCAACTGATGTTAGAGATTGAGAACGCCTTCATCCTTCGCAGTCTCTTTCTAATCTCATTCCGTGTCTTTATTTGGCCGTGGTCTCATTTTGTCTATCCGTTCCCCCGACACGCACCCTGTCTCTCACGCCCCCCCAATCATCTTCCTCAAAGTCAATATCATCTTGGATGATGAAGCTGTGGGGAATAATTGGTTTAATCAGTTCAATCCATTTTTAAGGTTGAGCTCAGACCAACGTCAGCACTGTCCTCCTGTCGTCTCCTCATTCCTTTCACTGTGTTGATGCGGACGCTTTGTCCCGGCAAAAAAATGTTGCACCTGGCTCAACCTTTGCTGCAACACCACGCAACGTCATCTGATTGTGTTGGCCAATCAAGATATGCCAACGGTGTGTTTAAGGTCAATTCGGAACGGTGTGTCCATTACTCGGTATGTGCATCAGAGAGCACTGACTTTACTGTAAAATGTAGCACATACGTATTCGGCCACTGCTAAAAAAACACATTTAATAGATCTTTATTTTGTGTTCACAGAAAAATTATAGCTGGTTTATTTGTGTCTGCCTCTAAAATCCAGTATTGGTCTGGATATTTGGTATTGTAACCCACTGTACAGGGCTTTAGTGTTTTGGCTTCTGATAAGCCTTCAAACTCATGGAACTGTTACTAAAGTTGGACTTTTAGTTTATTATTTTGGGCACTTTGTCCCTTTTTTTTACTTGAGAGAAATCAATAGAGATGACAAGGAGTAAGGAGAGGGATAGGGAACAACATGCAACAAAGGTCTCTGGACAGAGTTGAACTGGGGATATTGCTGTTCATTGTTGGGGCCCTGCTCCCCTCCTCCTCCTCGGATCATATTTCATCTTCTCGCTAGAACCTGCAGCAACATGCCTACATAACACAGCCTCTCGCATTTTTATTAAAGCAGAACTGGTGTTGAAGTGTTAAAGTGTACGTACATGTTAACACCCCTCCCTCCTGCACCTGCTTTCCTAGATAGCGACCTTCAGATTGTGCTCTTTGCCAGGTTGCTCGGATAAATCCGAATTTATTTTATAAATTTGGCCCTGAATTTGACCAGTCTTGTCTAACCCAACCCTCCCTACGCTCACTGAAGCTCTCCTGTAATCTGTCTGCCATATTATTTGGCTTTCCCTCCGCCCTCCTTCGTCTTTTCCTCGACACCTGACTCAGGTTCTCACGGCAGCTGATGACTGATAACCATCCACAATTGACCACACCTGTTTATCTGCCACACACACACACACACTCACTCGTGTCATTTCCCCTATTCCGTGATGAATGTTTTTCTTCCTTGTGCAACAGAGGTTATTTGGACCCTATCTTAGTCACTTTCGCTATATGACTAATAATTATATATGTAGAATTGTTTCTCTGCCTGGCATATTTTCTTCTTTCAAATCCATCGTCTTCCAATATTCATTCCCCCTTTCAGCTCTTTATATCCAACCTCCTAAAGTCTCTTTCTCTTGCTTAGCTGGATGAGTTATGCAAACGCATAATGACCCCACATTACTGAGAAACCTTCCACCTATTTGTCATGCAAATAATCTCATATATTCCTCCTCCTGTACACCCCCCCCCATGTCTCTGCTTTTATGTCGCTCATCTTTTCCTCTTTATCCTCACCCTTGTCACCCAGGTGGAAGAGGAGCTGTTGGAGCAGGAGTTCTTGGAGCGCTGCTTCCAGGAAATGCTGGAGGAGGAGGACCAGGATTGGTTCATCCCTTCACGTGACCTCAACAACCAGGGGGTGGGGCAGCTGCAGCAGCAGCTCAACGGCCTGTCTGTCAACGATCACCACGGCAACCTGGAGGAAGTGGCGGTGAGTCAGAGATGCATCAGATTCCTTTTTTTCTAAGCTTACTTAGAAGTTGCTCATAAACAGTCAAGAGTTTAGATTAAACAGAACATGTTCTTACCGTTTTTTATTTTGTCTTTTTTTGCAGAGGAAGAGCATCTTGAATCCCGAAGCGAAGGAGTTTGTCCCGGGGAAGAAATACTAGGAGTCCCCCTCACCCCCATGGAGCCTCCACACGCACACACACACACCAGTCCTCACATATTCTCAGAGACTCTGGCGGCCTCGACCGCGCACACACTGATTCCCACACACACGCATGCACACACACATCTACACACTTGAAGTCAGTGGCGTGCTGGCAGGCCCAGTTGGGGGGTGGGGGGATTTCTTTTTCTTTTCTTTTTCGTTTCTTTAATCTTTTTATTTCCTGTTTGTTTCTTGTAAACTGAGGGACATTGGGAACAGGGGTGGGGGATGGGTGTAAAACCAGCACCGCCCTACTGCGGGCGCTAGCTCATCATTACATTTCAGATGACACTGTTGATGTTTACAGAGTATGCAGATCTCATTGATGTCCCCTTGGAACTGAGGCAGCTACCAAGGAGTGATGCCAGGACAAAACTTCAATCCAAAACATTGAATAAACTTGAAAGATTACTTCACGTACTTGTTAATTTGTGTGCTGTCAAATTTGAATAAGTAACATCACCAGTAGGTCGAGGGTTTCCATGACAGTGAGGCTAGAGAACGACTAAAATCTCAGGGGACATGATGGGTTTCTGCCGCTGCTCTGTAGCGTCACCACGGTCAGTCGGACCCGCTAACGTTTGCTCCTGTGATGTCACAATCTCCCTGTGACATCATGGCTCTTGCTCATCTAGAAATGTGGGTTCTTATCTGCAGCGGCTCCGTTCCAAACCAAATACAAACCCCACCCTCCCTGCACGCTTGTTTTTTGAAGTGATGTTAACAGACATGGACAGGTGTAATCATGGATAAGAAATTATTTTCCCAATTTATGTGGAAGTCCATGCTTATCTTTTGTCCAGACTATTAGAGCTGAGGTGTGAGTTTCCCAATCGCACATTAAGTCGAGTTTAGCAAGAAAAAAATGTTATTATAGAGGGAAGGTCGGAGCTTTTTGAACCTTAAAAAAAAAAAAAAAAAACAACTCAGTTATCGTCTTTCTTTGTTCATCATCCTTTAGTTCAATTTTGATTTATGGGGTGTAGTGAACAACCTTGTTACAGGGGAGTATTTGGTCTGGAACAATGCCACTGCCTCCTTCTGCCGGAACAACATGGTTTGTCCAGCATCAGATCAAGTGTCCATATCCAAATCAGGTTTTCAAATAGCCTCTCCTCCTCGTTTTTTTTTTTTTTTCCCCCTTCATGTTTTGAGGATGAGGCATTTTGTGTCTACTGGGTACAGTAACCTGTGGTGTCCATTCAGTCCTGTTTGCAGGGGGAAACGTGAGGGGGCATTATTGTCATGGCCCATCAGGAAAAAAAGCCGTATGGAACATGTCTGACAATATGGCCTCCTCGCTGTTCTTCTCTTTGTAGGTTGACTTCTTTTGAGGAAGTTCTTCTTTTTAACCATACATCTTGGTTGTGGTCTGGCTTTCCCTGAAGCATCGCCCCGTAGTCCAAGTTTAATCTCCGTTAAGTTGTGAGCCAATAGGAAAACGTTGTATATGTGAAGATGCTTTTTAGGAAACCCAGATTCTTATCAATGGTAATCTTGAGTTACTGAGTCCGTTTTTCTAGTTCTCAGCCGTCTTGGCTCCAAAATGCAGAAGCAGTATTGTCATAAGGGAAAATCTTGTGACGTGAACTTTAATCTTCTTCATGCCACTGTTCATTTGTGGTATTAACAGTGATAATAATGCCTTGTGTATTTTACTGTGTTAGTGTTAAGTAGACACTTGGAGTACTTGTACTTCATTGGATTAAGAAGTATCTGATGGGTGAAAGCACTTCTTTACATCCATGTTGCTTTCTGATTTTCAGACCAACAAGTACTCAAGTGTGTCCTTAAAGTGTGCAGTAGAAACGTGGTTAAAATGGAACTTCCTCACACAGTGTTGGACCACAGCTGTCGAGTGGCACCCTGGTGAAGCCAATAGGAATGTCCGCCAGGTGGATTGTACAACATGAAATCATTTTTGGTGATTTTGTTTAGATGAGTTAGATAACAGAAGCCGTTTAAAATAAAAAAAGGTCCAGAAGACACAGAGTATGAATTTCAATACAAATAAAAATAATGAAAAAAGATGAATAAAGATGTTAAAGACAATTGCCCCTTTCTTAGTCTTTTGTTATATTTTGCTGCATGCTGGACAGGAACCCTGATGAAACCATATAGTTTGATGTTTGTAAATGTAATATTAATAAAGACAGAGTTCTTCTAATACACACACAATTTAAGTTATTCTAACAATTAATTGAGGACTTCTTACCCAGTCAGTCGGACCAGCAGATGGCTACATACAAACTTTGAGCTAAACGCTAACGTCCGCATGCTAACATGCTGATGTTTAGCAGGCCTTTGTTTACCGTGTTCTTACCATGGCATATTAGCATGCTAATATTTGCTAATCAGTGCTAAACAAACAGCTGTGACTGATGGGAATGTCTTTAATGACAAACTATAAATGTAACCGGATTGTGTCACACATGAAAATAAATAATCCAATTCTAAGATGGATTCAGCATTAAAAAAAATCTATCTCTAATCTCACACATTAGTCGGATACTTCCTAATGAAGATATTGGCACGGCTATAACAATTATAAAAATAGCATTAATGTTGTATGCTGGCTGAGCTGCCGAATTACAATAATTCACCGAGGGTTAAAAAGAAGAACACAAGTAGAAATAATAAAACTGAGCTTATTGTGAATAAACTTACCAGTTCAGTTTTCATGAAAAGTTTTGGGTCGATCCCTGTGTTATATTCAGAAAGAATAGAAACAATGTGTATAGGTTAACTTTCAACATTTAATGAGGCCTCTCCTTACTCTCTTGTCATTAGGCTCAGTTAGCTCTCAAGAACAAAGGCCCCAAAGATTTGAGTATATGAGTGAGCGCCAAGAACACAGTAATCACTGGTTTAGTGATATTCTAGTACACCATAATGACTTGAACCTCTCCAGCTGGACGTGCCAACATACACATTTTACTTTATTTTCATCTTCACCCTGTACAACTCATGTTACTTCCCAACCTTATTATCTGCAATACTTCTATAACAGTTGGCAATCCAACATAAAGCACAGCAGGTTGCAACAATCACTTTTTATCCTCATCCTCAGTCATTATTATAATCTTGACATTGAAGGTTCACTCTTGAACAGCAGTCGACAAAGCAATCACAAGGCGTTCTTCAAATGTACATTAGATGTTTAAAGGCCCATTTCTCTGTATATTTAGATAACTGTCCAAAATCCACCTGCTGTGGAATATCTTGTGATATGATCAAAAGCTCCAGAACAGCTCCTAAATGGACCTTGTGGTGAGATTGCTGTGTTTTAAACCAACCAAACAACATTAGCCTTCATCTGAAGGAATGAAAAATCTAAGAAGAGAGAAGTATTCAATGAATGTGGACCTTAAACTGGGGCCAGAGCACATCTCTGCAGGTTTGAACGTAGTGCTGAGTAATTCATCTCCGAATATGTGAACTTAGAGCGCAGTGTTAAGAAAGCTCCAAATCTCAGTAGCCACTGAAGCAAAAGAAGAGTGAATAACATAAACATGCTTAAGACATTTTTTTCTGAAGGTCTCTTTCAAGGACTCTGACTACATTGAAGATGATATTGATGATACTGTCAGTGTAGTGCTACTTCCCCCTTGTGGAAAAGGAGAGGGTGGAACAGGAGGAGCCTCAGAAAAAGAGGAAGAAGGTGGAAACCTCCACAGATGAGAGCAGCGCTGATCTCCCTAAACGAAGATTCTGACTGTAATGCTAGTGATTAGAAGATGACCTCCAGAGGCAGGCGTCCAGGAGGACACGTCATGCAACTGAACCTCTGTCATGTCGACATCGATGTAATGTCCTAGCCTGATTTCATGACACCGATTTGTAACAATGAGTCAAACTGGACTCTAACATGTTGGTGTGGTTATGCACAGTCTAAAAAAAGCCACTTCTGATATTTATGTGTTAATCTCATGAGGACAATTACGGCGTAAAGCTAAACTCCAACTGTAGCCACTGTGGTGGGCGTGTCCTTTGCTGTGGCTTTGGTTGTAGCAGTTGCTGTGGTTATTGGTGTGGCTGTGGCTATGATGTTATTTGTGTTGGGCTGGCTACTCTTTATAGCAGCTAAGACACCAGCCAGCAAGACAGTGTTAAAAAGCCAGACCCTCCTGCCGGGATCTGACCTGTTCAATGTGGAGTCTACTAAAAACCTTGTCTCCCTTGTTTAAATGGTCATGTTATTGTTGTGAATCACATTTATCACAATATGCTCGAAGCTTGATCAGAGACTACCATGAATCACTTTTCACAACTCTGAGCCCTTGTTACACATTTGACCCAGTGTTAAATTGTTGAAAAAGTCACATATTAATGAGTAAATGTTTTAAATTTCAAAAGTATATGTGAAAGACAAGAGACTTTCTTACAGAAAATAATATTTTGTAAACAAATCATCTGATCAACCTATGAAATATGATGCATTAAGATGAAACTACACAACCTTTACAGTCACCATTAACTCCACCTAAACTAGCAACAATATTAAAATATGTACACCTTAATGCATGAATATTAATAATCTAATAACTAATGAATATATATAGTATAATAATATAACCCTCAGGAAGGGACTATTCTGCATACTGCAACACTTCTGTACTTTTACTTGAGTACATATTTGAAAGCAGAACTTTTACTTGTAACAAAGTATTTCTACATTGTGGTATTTTTACTCAGTAAATAGAAGTGAAGTACTTATCCACCGCTGCACAACAAGCACACACATTTCACTGTCTCCTTTGGGTGCCTGCCAGCACATGGTTTACTGCTGTGTTATGACTCATCCTGAGCTTCTGTATCCTGAGGCTGGATAACTGAGAATCACAGGCACAAGTCTTGACCGCAGCGTCAGTTAGGAAGGATTTTTAATATGTGGCCTAAAGAGAGCGGGCAGTTGGAAAGGGGAGCAGCACATTTTATCATTTAATGCTGACATGCGGCGCTTTAAACTGGTTCATCAAAACACAAACAATGTTTGTTTTAATTTGTTGTGTATTGAGACAAAAGTTAAGATTCAGAGAGAAGGATAAAGTATCTGGTGACGAAGAGTATGATGATGGTGAAGGTCACTCTGCTGGATCTTAGGCTTGCCCCACTAGGAGGAGACACACAAGCCAATAAATATAGTTTAGTGATGATTGCGCACACACACACACACACACACACACAGTCACACAGTCACACAGTCGACCTCTCTTCTCTCTCCTTACCTCAGCACTGTAGCTGGCTTGGTACTCTGTCAACCACGGATTCCTGCTGGGCTCCGTGCAGCAGTCAGTCGGCGGCACATGGGCCAGAGGTAGCGTGCTGCCACTAGGGATGCCAGGAGGGATGGCCTGCATCTTAAAGCAACTATTAGGGCACTCAGTTTTCCATGCATAGCTGAGAGCGTGGGGGAAAGAAGACAAAGTGTCAGAAAGCAACACATAGGGTACAGGAGGGATATGTGAGAAGAAAGTAAAAGAAAGAAAAATGTGTCTGTGGCTTACCAACTGGACTGCCTGGAAGTAGGCTGAAGGAAGGCGCTGTCTCTCAGACCAATAGCCGGTCTAAAGCCCCTCAAGTGGCCGCTGTCATCCCAATTTTCAGCATCTAATCAGAAGTGGGAATTAAATAAAGTGCATTTATTAAAATACTGTACTTAAGTACAGTTTACTTGCACTTCACCAATTGTATTGAGGTGCTACTACTTACAGGTTAATAGATCAATATTGGGATGAAATGTGTCAACAGCTATGGGACTGATTACCATGCCATTACGCATACTCCATGTCGCCTTCAGGATCAATTGTAATAACTTCCCTTAACTTTCCCTCTAGCACCATCATCAGGTCAAAACTTTAATTTGTCCAATAATTTGGTTTATGACCATTTAGCTTAAGCTACTGAGAGCTGCCAGCATGGCTGTAGACTCTTGTTCTTTATACTGGCAGTCATTTGTTAGGATGTTTTGTTATTATTTTCAGATATTATATAATTACTTAAGTAAACGTTACCCAATATTTTGCCTGGTCTTTACCATCTTACTATCTAGTGAAATGACATGGCCTCGTCACCTCACAAAAAAGTATTTTTCTTTTATGTTATTGCAAAAGGGCACATGTTATTCATCATGGGTTAGGTGTGTTTCTGTGTGTGTGACACACAGAGAGTTGTTCTACCTGTGATTGTGATAATTGGACTGAAGGCCACAGGGAGGTGGAGCAGGTGCTGCAGCCTGGCTTCTCTGCAGACAGATCTAAGTAAGTCTTCATAGCAGGCCGGACTGACATGAGATGTCAACAAAATCATACCTAAAAGAGCACAAATCAAGGATCAGGGATAATTAAATGTCTTATAGTTTGGGTTAAACATGGGATAAACAGTGAACTTGAGACCACAAGCCAAAAGTACTTTAAAAAGGTTTCCTTGTTGAACTTTGCAGCTTAAATGAAAAATGACTGGATGAATCTAATCAACACTCCTGAAGTAAAAACAGCCATCTAACCTTCCTCGTAGAGAACACCAAACTTTGGCTGTGGCTCCTTTGTCTCCTGCTGCTCCAACACATTTACTGTCAATACAAGAAAATGGCCTGAGTACCAACGTAGCTGCCAGCTTCAATGTGTCTGTATGTGTGTTATGAGTGTATTTCAGACAGATAAAGAGAGTTCCTTACCCTTTCCACCAAAAACATAGTACAGCTGACCTTTCTCCTCTTCACCAAGTAAAGGCCTAGTTTCACTGGGAACCCCCACTTCCTGTGTCCTGCCCTCCGTCAGGGCGGAGCCAACAACCCCCGACGCCTCGGAAAAGGAAGGCGCGAGGGTGCCAAATGGAGTCAAGATGGCAGGGAAGAGGGAACAAGAGGGAGGCTGAGAGAAAGAGTACAGAAAGAGTGAGGGCGGTGGTGGTACTGGTAACAGAAAGCTCGTTTATATTATTCTGAACTGGTGTGAGTGTGTGTTGTTGTGGGTCACCTGTAACCAGCCACTCGAGCCATAGATGCTGTTAGTTGTCTTGTAATAGTATTGATGAAATATAGGCCAGGTTTCACAGTTAGTCTATGAAAACAACACACGACAGTGAGTCTATCTGGCCATCAATCAGTCAGTTAATCAGTCTGTCTCTCCATCCATTAATCCATCCAACCTGAGGTGTGTCGATACATGCAGGAGCAGCTTTAGCTTCAGTTCTGGGCTTCAGCTGGTTGACCTGTAGGTGGCACTGACTGAGGGGTTGATAGTCACTGCCATAAGTGGTCACAAATCTATCCCAAGGCTCCACAGCCTGAAAGGGGAAAACATGCGTTGTGACAGTGTTACCTGACAGGTGTGTGTGAGGATGGACATATACAGTACTGTAGGTCAGCACAGACAGCATTCACACCTCACAGTGTCAGCGACAGTGGTTTGACCAAACACAGCTTTGGTCTGAATACTTAAACAGTGGTTGAAGTAAGAACAGCATTACAATGTAAAAAGATTCCATTATGAGTGGAAATCTTGAATCAAAAGTATTAACATGTAGTTTAAGTATCAACAGTAAAAATAATTCTGAAAGAAAATGGCTCGTCTTTTACTTTTACATGTTATTGGATTTAAAAGTACATTTCACACAGAATTTTAGTAAAGTAGCAAAAAAATGAGTGACTTGAGTAAAGTATGGTACAGGTACCTTGTATTTGATTAAATACTTTATTTACAGATAAATTCCATCTTTGTTAGCAAAATGTGCTGTAAACTGCATAATCTCACTTAAAGGGGGTAATGGGTCACTAGCTAGTAGCATTATGCTACAAAGAAATAGCATATCACACGACTCTGCACTTCTCTTTAGCTCCAAAAATGTTTTTGTCTTATTTAATGTAAGTAGTTTATTTTTGGGGCCTGTTGTTGTCATTATGTTGTTTTCGGTCGTAGCAGGCAGCTACTATTGGGGAATAAAAGTCTCCAAAAGTAGACCGCTACCAGACAAGCGCCAAATGGTGTAGTGTTACACAGAGTTAGCAACTAGCTAGCTGGTAAACATAGTGGAGCATTTAACAACTTAACAGCAGATATTTCTGAGTTTGAGATTGAAAACAGCTCAAAGTTGAGTGAATATTTGTCAGGTGGGCAGAAGCATGACTCCACATGAATGATAAAGTTGCTCTCTTAGTGCTGGATGTGTATAAACTGTTTGTTAATGAATTTGCCTGAAGGTTAAATCTGTATATTGGTTTTGTGTTCCCATCTTGTTTCTGCTACCCCCAAGTGGCCAAATATCAGTTATTGCAGATTTAAAATAATGTCTAGTCATTGCATCATTAGTGGGAAAAAAATTGACATTTTTTTTGTTTTTGCATTTTTATAGTAGTGTATTTTGTTCTGCAAATACTGTACGAATGCATCATAGTAACTAAAATTGAATCAACAGCTTTTTTGTTGAAATAAAATGAAAATAAGAGAAAAAAGTTGGTATGTGCTGAGATTTGAGTTTTGTAACACAATTAACAGTAATGCTGCCTGACGTATAGTGGTGCAGTCTGCGGAGGATGACAGGTTTGCCTTGAGGCTGCAGACTCCATGTATAAGAGAGATACAACTGTGTGTAGTGGTATTAATAGCTGTAGGAGTGATGTGTTGGGTTTTATTTTTCAGAATTTTTTTAACCTCTATTTCAATTCAAAACAAACTAGGAAAAACAAAAAATGAGGCACACTAATGAATAATTCAATTAAGACAGAAAATGACCAAAAGACAAGTCAAGTTGCTTATACCTCAGAGTATTTACCTTCTCATGTTGAGACAGAATCATCTGATGATATTTTGATTCCTCTTTGGTAGAGTAATCAGTGCATCATCACAGCAGCGAAGCTGAGCTGAGCTGAGCTGAGGAGTCAGTGGAAGCCGGTGGAATGTTACTGCTACTGTTTTTAATTGTATTTATTCTATTGACTGTGGCTGCTAGGCTACTTCTTCTGCCTTTACTCCAGTTTATGTGCAAGCCAGGAAATTCATACAGTAATACTGGTTCAGTAGACAGTCTATGGAGCAATGTGACATGGCCAGTGTGCAGAGAACTGAGTCAAACAGTAAACTCGTTACAGATACAGAACTCTGACAACTTGAAAAGAAATATGACAGCTTTCTCCTTCTTTTTGACCAAAGCTGTGACATCCTTATAGCATATAAACATGTTTATATCAAATTTGACTGGCTGTAAACATCATGGGCTCTATTTTTGTGTTGCACCGTTAAACTGGTATTTTCCTGGGGTACAAATTTATTGATTTCTAATGCCACTTTCTATTCAATGACACACTACTGTGTCACAATAATGTAATATTTTTAAGGTGAAATATCGTCATTTGGGGGCTTTTCCAAGCAGATTTTGATATATGTTAATGTTAGCAATTAATTCAGCAAATATTTTCTGCTAACACTTAAAAGTCTCTGGCCACCCCATCAATACTTCTCTTGAGCCGCCCCTGATCTCGACTGCACTCTGCAGGTCCCAGACAACAGGACGTTTCCTCCTAGGATTCCCAACAGTTTAAATATCATGATGTTTAAATGGGATTGAAGTGTGATAATTGTCACAGCCTATAATGCATGATCATGTATACTCTGATCCCACCCCGTAACCAAGAGTGCCACAGGTGTATTATGCGTGCCTGCCCACAAAATTCTCAAAAGTGTACCAAAAAGCACTAGGCAGGGCGCAGTGGTCTGTGATCTGAAAACAGAGCCCACTGTGTCAAAGTTACAAAATCTATAACATAAACTGAGAACAGGAAAAGAACTGTGTTGTGAAAAAAGACTAGAAGCATTATGGAACATCTCAGTACATGTGGAGCCATAAGAATATGTGCTTCTTGTTAGTTATTGCATTATTAAATGCAGACACTGTGATTTGTCCGTCACACAAAGAAAGGCAGTGTAATAGCACCATCTATTAGCAAAAAACAAAAGAGCAAAATGCTAATGATGTAGAAGAAAGTGTGATTTCTCTGCCTATAATAACTGAATACTAAATAAACAGTGATCATCACAGCTTAGATAGAACTTCAGTTATCTCAGGGATCAACCCTTCAAGTTAACAGTATTTTTATTATAAATCTCAGATGTAAACAAGTGTTGTAGAGGTGCAAAGATTTGCAATGAGAATAAAATTAAAGTAATATCAATTCCACTGTCACAATAGCCGCTATGCAGCTGGAAAAAAAATTAGATTTCCAACCACAGTATCGGTATCTTCAGTTCAAATCAAGTGCTATACCACACATAATCATTATTATCATTATAGTAAATGTTATTAGTGAGGATGCTTATATTCATGTACAGGCCAATGCGTTCTCCCTTTAGCTGATTGGTTGAGATGGACAGGATGCAGCTGAACTCTCACTGGCTGCTGTTGAAAGTGTGTCGGTAGAAGACGTTGGCATTGGCTGTGTAATCCATAGTTATGGAGGCGCCCATACTCTGAGCCCCCAGACTAGCGCCGCCGAGGGCTGAAGAGTGCCGCAAAGTCAGGAGGCTGTACCCATGGAAACGACCCTTGAACTTGTCAGATGATGCCACTTTATCCAACACCTCAGTGAACCCTGGTCAAAGACAGAGACAAGCAGAAACAAAGAGAAAAAAAAATTCAGATTTAGCTGAACTTCAACTGCTCCACCTCATTTTATTTCAGTGTAACAATGATAATAGGTTTTCTTGATTTGAGGGACACTGACCTGGCTTCAGAAGCTCCCAGCTCTTCCACACTGTGCCCTCACACAGGATGGGCAGGCCGAGGTCATTACTTAACAGAGGCTGTCAGGACGGACAGAGGAAGACATTGCAAGAAATTCATGCAGTCAATGTTTTGAGCAGATAAGTGAAAGCGCAGTATACAGTATGTGTGTGTGTGTGCACCTCTTGTGCTGCAGGTAAGACTGCTTCTATATGTTTTGCCAGGACTTTCCCACCCTGAGTGAACACATACTGACAGAGAGGATCGCCTGCTTCTGCACCTTTAACACACAGACAGAGATTTCTTTTCATTGGACCTTCCACTCTATTCTTTTAAATTTGTTTCCTAAAGCAGGAAGTGATGCGCCGCCTACCTTCAGCCAGCTTCTTGCAGAAACCGGCAAAGTGGGACTTCTGGAAGTTCCTGTAGAGGTGCGGCAGCATGCCCATCAGATCTGTCACCTGGGGTAGTATGTACATGTTTTACATATATGCATCTGACACCACATAGTACATCAGAAGAGAGAGACGTGATTTCCATAAATAAGATGACTCTCAACTGTGATTCGAGTTCACTGCTGTTACAATCTGACCTGGAAGTATTCCTCCATGGCTTTCCTGACATGTGTAACGTCATGAGGAGGAGCGACCAGGTTGTCTTTGGCATCGAACACCGTCTTCACCGCCAAATGAGCCATCCAGAATGCTGAGAGATACAAAGAAAGCCTGAAGAGCTTGGTCCAGTCAATAAAGCTATAAATGATTCATACACATATCGCCATGGTTACCTGATCCCTCATCACCCATCATGTGACCCCAGCCTCCACAGCCGACCGGTGGGCCATCGGGATTGACCAACTTGCAGTTAGAGCCGGTCCCTGATATCACCACTACACCTCCTACAGAGAAAACCGAGCTGAGTTGTATTATTTGATGATAACGATGACTGCGCTGATCTCATTGAGCAATAAAGTTTGGAAAGACGCAATATATATGATATCACTTTAATACAGCTACACCCAAAGGGGGTAAAGTATCAAGCCTCGCCCTGTTGCAACATTTTATAGTCATGATTTCAGCTGTATCTGTAACTGTCTAACTGTCTGTCTTTAACTATCTTTCAGATATTAATGAAGAAGATACAAAAGTAGCTACAGTGTAAGTTCATCTACAATACAATTCATTTACTAACAATTACTCCTTCTAACACCCTGAGGTGCAAATTCATATCCTATGAAAATGTATGGAATGTAATATCTGATATTTTAATACATTTTATGCAAAATCTATATGGTAAAAATGGATGTAATCTTGTGCTGAGGAGTGACAAAATAGAAAAAGACTAGTTACCACGGTCACTGGCGGTCGCCATGGCGCCAATGGCATCGGTGGTGATGAAGTAGTGCTGGCTGAGAGTGGGGAATCGCTTCTTCATCTGAGCGACCAGATTGTCGATGGCGTCCTTCTGCTCCCCTCCACTCAGAGACATTCCCTGCACGCACAACACACACACACACACACCCACACACACACCACCACACACCACAAGAGAAACCGTGTTTAAATGATCTTCTTGGCACTTATTTCTCCATCAAATACCTTCACTTGGAAGTCAGCTAAAGTGTATGGGCATTTGACTGACCAGTGAGCATAGCGGCGTGTTTGGATCCAGCCCTGCCTCCCTCTTGGCTCTCTGGATCATGTCGTTGATGCCTTCGATACATTTGTCCACCCCAACCAACTGTGTACACATACAGACACACATATTGGCATTTGTTTTGATTTCAAAAGGGGAAAAAATGATTCAATTCTCTGCCTACTGCATTTAGTAAACCCCCCAAATACGCCGTATTCATCCACTTTCTCCTCCCTGCCATCCTTACTTGGGTTTCCTACATTTCTCCACTTCTCCAACTCAAACTACCTCCACCCCTGTTTCAGCTCACCCAGTGGTTAGTGGACGGTCCCTCTGTCTCTGCCAGGATCTTCCCATCTGCTGCCACCAGCAACGCTCTGGAGCTGGTCCCTCCACTGCAGAAACAGAAACGCATGCATAAAGTACCCCAACACCAACATAAACAGATCATGTGTTTGCTGTGATATACAAACTCACAGGTGAGGCAGTGAGGAGACACATAATCGATGTCTTGAAGAGTAAAAAAGCTTACATTTTACACATATACATTCATATTTACAAACATAAAGGTGCTCTAAAATGTCCAACTAAAGTGCCCCCACCAAAATCGGGGGAGTGAGAGGAAGGACACGAGACACACACACACACACACACACACACACACAAAGTCAAAAGACCAGTGTAGTCAAAATCAGTACACTCTCTCAGTACAAGCTTGTACCCTAAACTTCAAATGACAACCGCGAAAAACACGACTCAAAGTGACTAAAAGTGACTCAAAGCCTGCAATACACACTAGCCTTAACTGACAGTTATAAAAAAATAAAACTGGATAGGTTTTGTAGTGTATTTTAACTCATTCTCACCCCTCCACTCCGCCGAACACGGATGCCATGTCTCAGTTCCTGTTTTGGTCCAGTCAAAGTGCGCAAATATCGCGAGATATTACGAGAGCTCCAACCTGCAATACTGATTCATCACCAGCAGGTGGCAGCTGTGTTCAGGGGAAAACAACAGCCTCGACCTACAGTTCAAGTGCATTGTAAGAAAAACATATACTACTTGTAAAATGTTGCTGTATGTAAGGCACTGAGGGAAATTAAAAACACACTGTGCGTCTTGACTCATGGTCTAAAAATCCACACTCGGTGTTAAGAATAAGAGATTTAGCAACATTTGGTTTATGGGCTGAAAACAGGGACAACTTTGAGTTTCTTTGTGAGCCAGCAGGAGTCATCTGCAACACATTAATCTGCGGGCCAGCTTCTCTTTGCCAACATAGTTCCTTTTAAAAGAAAAACAAAAGCTAATATTGTTTGGCTGCTCCAACTTCTTACAGTGTCTCCTTAGTTAAAGTATGTATAAGTACTAGTAGGTTCATATAACTTAGTTTTACTTTATATTTGTTCACATAAGTAACAATAGCTCTTTTCTATGAGCTGCATTGTCCTGCTGTGTTGTTCTATTTGCCAAGATAAACACCCTCTGTAGTTAACCTGCACTTTACGGTGTGCATACAGTTTCTGCTTGCATTAGAAAGTGCGTGTGTGCGAGCTGAAACCAAGAGAGAAGTTACACAAGAGTGAGGAGGAGGGAGGAGAGGAAGAAGAGCGGCTCGGTGCGCTCACCACGCGCTGCTCACTCCTCCTGCAGGGCACACTGCGTCAATCCCCGCGCGCTTACTGCAACACAGGATGTTAGTTTATTCACATTTCAAAATAATTAGACTTGAACAGACGGGGTGTGTCAGAACAAAGTAGAATTACACACCCTGAGGTAGGATTTATAGTTAGTAATGACTGCCTAATGGAATAATGGGATTGTTATATGTCTTCTCTTGATTTGTTCATCTCAGACACTAAATCATATTTCCAGATTATTAGTAGAGCTTGACGTAGGACAGTGTGTAATTCTCCATATATACTCTGCAGTGGGTGTGTTTACGTGGAAGAACGCCATCATTTTGTGATAAAAAAAAAAGTGTTTGCAGAAACTATGATTGAGTTCTTACTCACGGTGAGTTTTAATTAGAGTATTCTTTACATAGCCTAATTTGACTGACTTTCATTCCCTGGTGCAAGTCAATGTGAATTAATCAAGGGTCTGCAGCCTTTGCCCCCTTGGTCGTCCAGCCCTGGCACCAGCTCAGGGCCTCTGAATTAAAATCTAGTTTAAACACATGGTGCAAATTCTTAAATAAAGTTTTAAAGTTACCACAAAAACACTAGGCTCACTAAAGGCTATCTAATACCTACATAATGAAAGAAAGTGGGTAAAATATGGAGGTTAATAAGAACACACAACTCATTTCTGCCCCAGGGCCTAAATAAATATTTTTTGACCATGAAATAAGTTTCCATGTTAATATTCTCTACCTTTAGGAGTCATTAGATACCAGTAAAGCACTGCCGCTGAACTGGTGTTCGCTAATCAGACCTTTATTCTGAAATCAGTAACGGAAGCTTCGTGATGTCTATGAAATGTGGCTTTTTGGTCCAGCCCTGCAGGAGGAGTGAGAGGCGACAGATAGGCGACTCACAGACAACATTTGGACGTTAGTTAACTTTGTCCGGACCACCCAGCGACTGTTTGGACCTTTTCTTATTTCCACCATGACACCCTGAGCGAGCGGGAGCTGCGTTTGAAAGGCTGGGGAGCGGGAGACAGAGAAGAGGGGAAGTTGTTGGGGGATATAGGAAAAATAAACCCCCCAAAAAAAAAAAAAAAAAAGTGATTTTCCTGCGACAAGTTCAAGTCAAATTTCTTCTTTCTAGAGGAAGGGTGGCCCTGGACTGTTGGGGGGCATGGACACCCACGTCAAGGAGGGACAACTGTATGTGCAGCATCAAAAGTTTGGGAAGGTAAGTGCAAGAATATTTTAGCAGCACGGTTGTGGCGTTGACAGAAATGACCCAAAAGAAAAATAACTGTAGCTAGTACATCATCATAAACATGTCGAGCATGCTATATAACATCAAATGTAACAATACATTTAGCATATAATATAATAAACCAGTAATATATGGAGAGAAGAAGCTCTTAAACTAAAAACTAGATAAAAAGCTTCTCAGACACACAAAAGTCTGTGTAGGACTGTTATAGAATATCACAGGAAACCAGTAGCTACAGTAGGTGTGATAAAACAACTTAAAGGTCACTGCTGCCTGTCATAAACAGTCTGTAACTCCTTATAGAAATTAAATATGATGCTATTGGTGACTATATGAATGATAAAGTAGTGGCATATGTTTATGAGACAGTTAAAGTCAGTTTAGGTAATGATACACAGCTCCTCATAGCTGTATTATATGTTATTCAGGGAGATGGAAGTGTCCCATTGAGTCTTTAACATGTAGAGGATGCTATATAACATCAGAATGAGACACAGGGATATACATGTAACAATATTTATAGCATATTATATAATAAACCAGTAAGATATGAGGAGAAGAAGCTCTTTAATGTCACTAAAACTAGATAAAAAGCTCCACAGACTATTATAGAAGTATCACAGGAAACGAGTAGGCATGATTAAGCAACCTAAAGAAACCTATTTTCATTTACTTTTATACTTTCACTTTTCTTTTGGTGAGAGAAACTCTGAAATCATATTTATTATTGCTTTACACGGCCTTAAAGGTAACTGCTGCCTGTCATAAACAGCCTATAACTCCTTACAGAAATGAAACATGAAACGTTACTAGAGACAAAAAATGAATGATAAAGTGGTGCCATATGTTTATCAGACAATTAAAGCCTGTTAATGTCACTTTAGGTAAATATATCTATCCTAGCAGTATTATGTGTTATTCAGTGTCCCATTGAGTCTTAAACATGTTTTTAATTCACACAAATGACGTTAACTTTGTGCTTTTCCCAGTTGCAAAGAGAAAGGAGCATTTTACGTCATGGCAAATAAATAGAGCAACATACTGATGCAATTACAGACCAGTCATTGTGCCCAGTGTCTTCAAAGACAAACCTACTGTAGATGCAAAGAGAGGAAGTTATCGCAGTGTTTTACTGATCTGGCCTTGTTTTGATGTGGTGGTTCAGAGTAAACCTGCTGTGCATATTTGTGTGTGAATGAGTGTGCATGTGCATGAGCCGGTAAAACCCTGGTGCACTGTGGTAAAATTCAGTGAATCTAGAAATTACAGGAAACTAAACTGTGGACTAAAGTGAACAAGGACAGAGAGGTAGAAATTGCATGTGAGCTGCAGACACCTCGCTACATTAGAGCTGCAAGATGAAAGCTGTTGCAATAAACTTTTCCACAACAAACGCGTTCACAAAATCTGCACAACCAGAACATCAGAGATTTGTGGGGCTGGAAAGTTGACACGACTTTTTCACAAAGGTGGCAGACATGTTTCCACTGCGATCTTAGCTGCATATTCAGTACAACTGTTCGCACCATTGCAAACACTGTCAACGAGCCCCTTTTGTGCCACCTCTGACTAAATATGATCACTCATTTTAGTTTTGTGACCACACAGCTGGTGGGTATAGTTAAATGTTAGTGATAACACCTGTGTGTGTGTTTGTGGGTGTGTCTCTGTGTTTGCTTCAGTCCTTGGCCTCCATGCAACCTCGCTTTTGGTCTCAGAGCACCGCTGGATAAGGACTCATTTACTCTTTTCAGATTTGTAAGAGGGTCTTTGTCTCTCCGTCTCTCTCTGGTCATATGACATGGATCAACAAAACGATCTGGCCCTGTTTCCTGCCCTGAAATCACCACCCCACAATAGATATTCATACTCCCAAAACACAGTTTCAATGCTTTTTATAAACAGTACAAAATACAATAGAAAGTGAACCAACCAAATCTCCGCATTGTCAAAAATAACGCGTTATCTTTGCAGAGTAGCGGTTGAAGAGAACAGAAGTGCATACAAAAGCATCAGAGTAGAGAAGAATAGTACAGGAAGCTGAATGTCGGCTGATCTGAAAGTGTTGAAACTGGTGTGAGGTTTTTGTTGGGTGAATTATGCAATCACGAGAGCTGTCAGTGGACACACACACACTTATACTGTATGCTCGTTCCCACGTGTATGGTTGGAAAATGTGAGCTAAGAGTGCAGCGGCCGCATTCGACCCTGGTTTCTGTTTCTGACTGCTGTTTTATGAGGGTGTGAAGTAGTGGCCATTATAGAGTTTATAGATTGGGCTGTTGGGATTTAAACA